CATATATCATGTACTCTTTTCTCGACTAGGTTTTTCCCACAGGGTTTTTCTAGCGAGTTTTTAACGAGGCATGATTATGGCAAAATAATGTCCAAGGGGGAGTGTTACAAAATATATTTATTATGGACATTATGTCCCTTTATTATGATTAATTTGTCATTATGTAGTGATTTGTAACCTACATCTCTTTGTACTATAAAAGGTTGTTTTCTTGATAATGCAAGGACAATCTTTTCCTGGTGTTCTCATACTCTCTCTACTTCATATCATAGTCTATTTACATTTTGCATTGTCCCTGCAAATCCACCGGCTAAGAGCTAACGGGCATCAAACATTTAACATAAACTATATATTATACATTTAACTACATATATTAATTCATTTTTCATTATATTTTAGACCAAATTCGTGTCAAGACGATGTCCGCTATTCCACCCATTGGAGATTCATAATCAATATCATAAAACAATCATCATACGTATTATATTATGATACGTATATAAAAATATAATATATAGTTTTGATACTAGTATAATACCACTTTTATTCTCTTTATTATTTTTTGGAATAAAGGTCAAATAAGCCACCGAAATACACACGAAAATACAATTAGACCATTGAACTCATACAAAATACAATTGAGTCTTTGAACAACGCAAAATGATGCAATTGAATCAAAAGTGACCCGTTTACTTGTTAATTTGCTGACGTAGAGGTTATCATATTAAAAAATAACTTTTTATTTTATTTTAATAATTTTTAAAATAACAAATTTTGTAAAAATAAATCCGCTCTTCGTCTCCAAATTGTCAAAAACGAAAAATCCGTATTTGTCTCCGACAGCCTGAAGACGAAGAGATCCACGAAGAACCTTCTTCGTCTCCGACATCGAGACGAAGGGACATGAATGGGGAAAGCTAAAGCTGTCTGAAAATCCTTAAGTGTGCCCAGTGATGGAGCTACCTTAGGGGTAGGGGCCCTGGCCCCCCTAACCCCTCCCCGCCTCTACTCGTACCCTAAATTTTTTTAGTAAATAATATATATATATATATATATATATATATATATATATATATATATATTAACGTTAAAACTCATTAAATAAAAAGAAATAAATTAAATAATTACACTCACCATTTTTCTTTTTTATGTTATTTCTTGTATCAAGATTTTAATAATGGACGACATCAATTATCAATTTTATTTTAAAAAATCTCCAAATTGAGATATATGCTTTAGTTTCATTAGTTATGTTGACTAATTAATTAGTGATTTATTGTGTATTTTAATTATTTATTTATACTTTGAATATGTAAATTTGCTAATTTAAATGATTAGTTTTGAAATTGACAAAAATTAATATTGATTATTTAATTCGAGATCTTGGTTTTTATCTTTTTTTCTCAAATTTTGAAATATTTAATTAATCAGTAAAATGAATATCAATTAATTATGAAAAAATTAGCGACAAAATAATTGACAAAACTTTTTATTTAATAAAAATGGACAATCTATATTTAAATAAATGGTGGTGTTGTTATTTTATTATTATTATTATTATTATTATTATTATTATTGTTGTTGTTGTTGTTGTTGTTGTTGTTGTTGTTGTGTTGTTGTTGTTGTTGATGATGATTTTAGGGTTTTTGAGCTCAAGGAGGTCCAACACAACCGTGGTTGGTGGATTCACCTTTCAATTAAAACTGCTAAAAATATGGGCTCGATGTTTTTTTACGTGGAAACCGAAAGGTGAAAACCACGGGCCTTTTTGGGCGATGCCAAGCCTAAATTCACTATATATTTTGTAGGTATTTTTGTACATATTGTAGAGCTACTTTGTGTATGTGATGTTGTGTAGAGATGAAGCTACTTTGTACATTGAGAGGGAATATTCTTCTTGATCTTCTTTGTTGAAAGAGTGTGGATGATGAGGCCTTCTTGTTGATAGGAAAGATGGTGGAGTCTTCTCCCCTTGGAAGAGTGATGAGTCTTTTCATGTGTGTATGTGAATGGAGTCTTCTTGGGAGAGTGGTGTAGAAAGAATAACATGTCTTTCTATGGGAGAAAGAATAGTGAGTGGGGGAATAGTGCTTGGGAGAATCCTCCCATGTGTAGATGAATGAGATCCCCCTCTTGTGCTCTTGAACCTTCTTTTATAGTAGTAGGATGAGATTATAGCCGTTGGGTAATTTAATTAGTAGGGTATTTAATATGATATTTACTTTGGGAGGTTATGGATAATAATATTAATAATTAGGTAATTAACTAATGGTAATAAGTGGGGTAATAATATGGTAGTAAATAGGTTTCATGGGTGCTAATGTAAGAATAACGACTACTTCCAGGCCGACCTACTACTCGTGTCGACCTCGCGCTCGTCCCGACCTTCAACTCGAGCCGACTACTTGTGTTGACCCGGGTCTATATTTGAGCCTCTTCTTCCATGGGCTTTGACCCTTTTCCCTTCTTGGGCCCTAAGCCCGTTGGGTCCACACCCCATCAATTATTATTATTGTTATTATTATTATTATTATTATTATTATTATTATTATTATTATTATTATTATTATATTTTGTGTTATGTGAAAGAATTCTAAAGTAATGATCACAATAATGTATGGTATATCTACAAATCTACAAATTTAATAAAAGTCAATAATGTTAGGTCCTTAACTGGAACAAAAAAATATAGGTGTAATTGTTTCTTAAAATGAATAGTTCATATTATTTTGATTTTAGTATTATTTAATGATTTTTCTTATTTAATGATTTTGGTCCACTGACTATTGGAGTTGTGTTAATTGTAACACTTGAGTTTAAAAAATATTAATTTAGTACCTTGACTATGCAATTCTTATCAATTTTGGTCACACCGGCCAAATGTGACCGAAAAATTTAAAAGTAACAATTAGTCTTAAATGGGAGGGGCAAAATCGTCATTTCATGTGACTTTCTCTTCTTATTCCATTCCTTGCACTGACCGGTCGAAATTGCAGCACCACGAACAGTATTCCTCCTGGACGATGATGTACAGATTACTTCTTCCTTGCACCATTTCCGGAATTGCAGCGCCGGCAATGATCGGGAATTGCAGGCCGGCGATGAACAATTTAGTTAATGACCAGATTCCTCTTTCCACCTTCGCACTTACTTCGAAACAACTAGAAGAAATCCTAGAACAGCGAAACAATAATGGACTCCTCAGCCTCTGGCAAGTACTTGATGGCTTACAAACCAGTATTACTTCCGGCATAGCCGGAGACGAGGCGGATATCCTCCGCCGGCGAACAGCGTTTGGGACCAACAACGTTGTCGTCTCCGAACATCAACCGCCTAGTGCCTGCACCTGGTCTGGGAAGCGCTGAGAAACTCGACGTTTGTTCTCCTTGTTTGTTGCGCCGTGCTTTCTATTGCCATTGGGGTTCGGAGAAATGGGGCTACACAAGGAATGGAAGAAGAATATTGCATATTCATTTAAAATGAATTTTATGAATTGCATATTCATTTAAAATGAATTTTATTTATTCGGCTGTTCTTTTAATATTGTTTGCTTAATGCTAGTACTTTGAACGTCGCCGGAAATGGAAGAGAACGTCACCGGAAATGGAGAAGCGCATCGGAGAAGAAAGAAAATGGGTAAAATGACTAAAATATCCTTATTTTTTGATCTATTAAATTTTTTCGGTGATATTTGGCCGACAATTTAGCCGGCGTGACCAAAATTAATAGAAATTGCATAGTCAAGGTACTAAATTAATATTTTTGAAAGTCAAGTGTTGCAATTAACACAACTTCAATAGTCAGTGGACCAAAATTAAAATTTTCTCTGCTAAAGAATTACATCTGCCTTGTAATGGTTCGGAATTACATCTGTGCCCCTAAACACCGTTCTCAGTTCTCACTTCAGTCTTCAGGTGTATGCCTGTGTACTTCAGTGTATTCGGAATTACATCCGCTCCGGTCAGATCTGTCTACTGTCGGCGAGTTCACTCCAAAGACGGAGTCACCAAAGTTGGGTTGTGCCTATCGCCTCGTTCCAGGGTAAGCCATCTTCATCTCAAAGAATACCACTTCAGTTAGTTTAATTTATGATGTGCATTTTTACTTGAAAATATTTGGTGCCCTTGCAGAATGAAGATTTCTGTTTGTATTTATCTGTGTTTTTTTCCCCTATTTGTTTTATCATTTAATCATTTATGGGTTTGAGTAATTGTTTGTGAATCCTGGATATAAACAATGCTCAAAGATGAAATCTGGGTTTGAGTAATTTCTGGTGTTTATTTTATTTGAGGGTAGGTGTTAGGTTCTGCTTTTGAATGATGTGGATTTGTAAATGTATATAATTTTTACTTTTGGAAACCTTCTTATGGCTTATTTTATTTCCCTTCCCAGAATGTCTTTTTGCTTTCAGTTCTAATGGCCTCTGTAAGTAAGGGCAGTGTTTGGTTTAGGTTTAGGTTGTTTCTTGCCCAATGTATTTAAGGATTGTGCATTTTGTCAGTTCACTTGATGCTATTTCTTATTCCTTTTCATTTTCTTGGTTTTTTTTTTTTTTTTTTTTTTTTTTTTTAAAGGTTTTGACATAGAATGAAGTACTGGGCCTGGATGTTTTAAATGAAGTTGTAGTGGAAGTTAATGGGTAGGAGAGTTTTAATTATAGCTTTGGGAAATTAGTGCAAATAATCCATGGTGAAGAAAATGGAGACTTTCTTTCATTCTTACAAGTTTAGTTCTGGTTGGTTTAAGTTTGAAGTTGAAATGGAACAAATTGAAGCCCAGAAGTTGTAGGTGTCTGAAGAATGAAGCATATTTAATTGGGTTCAGTTCTCTTTGATCATTCATATGAAACACATTTATTCTTCTAATTATGTAAGACCATAATATGTTAGAATAATAGTCCTGTGTAATTTACCAGGAGAAAAAGTTACAAGTAAGGAAAAGGGTTTTTCTACTAGTCTAAGCACAAACCTTTCTGTTTGTTTCTTCCTACTTTCGGTCTAGCAGCTTAAGTTTCTTCACGGCCGTCTGCTGCCAGATCTCCAGTAATGTCTCATTTTTCAAGTGGGTAAAAATTGACTGGGGTGTTGCTAGATTCAATCAATAATTATTCAGTGAATTCCTTTGTTTTTAAAAATGAAAAAAAAAAAAAAACAAAAATTATCCAGAGAAACATGTGAAGATTAAAGTGGCATTCTGATAAAAGATCAAGAAAGATTCCGCACAGATTTATTCCTGTTCCTTTGCAATCTATCACTCATCTATCTAATTCTAATTTTAATATTTATTAAAGCAACAGATTAAAGCCCTAATTTTTTTTTATTAAATTAAATTGTTTTTAGACATCAGTTACTGTCTTCAACAGGGTAGAAAGATTGGTTGTGGTTTTCTTTTGAGAGATCTGGTGCTGAAGAGTGAAGAGAAGCATTTGATGTATAATCAAAATTAAGTCTTGATATAGAAATGGCTTGAAATATCTGTGAAATGGATAATTCGGGATTGGAAGTTCGAATCCGGAACTGAAAGATTTCCAGATAGGCAGTTGGGTTCCAGCAAAGCCTGGCTTGCTGGCATTGGAGCTGATCTGCAAAACAGTGCAGGAAAATGAGCAGATTAGAGCAAATTGGTCAGGCTTGCAAACAATTCCACAAGATTTTTGCATAGGCCAAATGAAGCAATTAGAAGCAGGAGCGTTCTTGCAGGGAAACGATGCTCTTACCAGGGATGATAGGTATGCAAGAGGGAGCTCTGAACTTGTCTATTGATCATGCAGACAACTGGAACAATGTTTCATTTGGGAACCTCTTGGCACTGGTGCATGCTGCAGGAGCAGTTGAGAAATTCCCTCGTCAGTTCACAGAATGCAGGTATCAGTTTCTGGAAATATTATCTCTTTCAATTCAATTTGCCCCGAATACAAAACTGAAGCTTACGTTTCATAGCATGAATGTCACTTAACCTGCTTCCCTTGCCACTCTAATTTCTATCACATGTGATTGTTGAGACCTGTTAAGACATAAAATGTACTCTGTAAATAGATAATAGTTGCCCCTGAAGGGTAGATAATATTTTGTCCCAAGCATAAATGATGGCCTGGGTTGGAGTTCTCCCACATTAATCTGATAAATGTAGGCAGTAAAGATATAAGAATTTCCGGTGAAGGTTGCAATCATTATTGTGTGGACCATGGACTATATTATCAAATAATGTACGTTCAGTACACAAATAATGTATTTTTTGTGTACATAGTATTCAGGGAAAATACATTATTTGAGTACTGAAAGTACATTATTTTGTATAATGTACATTCAGTACACGAATAATGTACTTTTAGTATATTTGAAATGTATTTTTTGTTATGGTCCACACAAAAATTTGCCCTGTAATAGTAAACTCTAACTTGCATTGCTTTTGGACCTATTATTTACACCTGCAAATTAGAATTGTTTTTGGACCACCACCTATTATTCCCTTTTCTACTACTATATATATAATTTGGTAAGGATTAGAGGTCTACCTATAGTAATAATTGCAGTGTAGAAAACTCAATAAGTTTAATGTTCTTTCTAATTTTCAACCTATTTGTCTCTTAAAACTGATGTAACATATTGTATTACTATATTTTCTTTCACCAATATATTCCTCAAACTAATATAATGCAAAATGCATATATGTGCAGATGGAAGTTCTGTTAGTTCCAGAATCTCTTTCGAACTGAATTATCCACCTGGTTAAATCTAAACCTTAATGAGATACCGATACTAGAAGATGTAGAGGAAAATGTTGAAGAAAGTGACATCCAAGGGAACAAAGAGCAGTCAGTGGTGGTGAGAGAACTATCAGAAATGATGGAGACCACAAGCCAGGCGAACTAGTTGCTGAAGCAAATAAGACACCTTAACAGAAACGAAGAAGAAAAAAGTCCAGGCCAAAGGGGGTTGTTGAAGGCCAGACACCGGAACAGAAACCGAGAAGAAAAGGGCACCGGGCAAAAAAACCAAGAGGGCCTGGTACAGTAGCTCCCAATACGCAAGCTCAACACCAATTGGTATGTAAAATGCAATCTCAAGTTTTAGAGAAATAACTTAACTGCATTTGGCTCACTTTTTCTTGTAACATCTGATTCAGGTTTAACGTCGGTGTGGCGCTTAGGCTTTAATCTAATTGACGAAATGGTGGAGCAGTTCACCTATCTTAATATAAATGCTGATGGTCCAAGTCAGTATTTTGAAACTGCATGCTGTTGCCCTTTTTATCAAAGAGATGGAGAAAAGGAAATCACGGCCACAAAATCAATATTTGTAGACTTAATTGACCAAAAATGATAGTCTGAGGACTAATTTGGTACTTTCGCCATAGTTGAGGGACCAAAACGGTAATTAACTCATGTCCATTTTAGCTTAGATTAAGAGACAACTTTTGTGCCAGTAAGCAAAAGATGAATGAAAAATAATACTCAAACCCTTTCCTCTTCATTAAATAGCAAGATATTGTAGTTGTACATAAGAAGAGGAAAAAATGGTTGGGAAGTGGTATAACTCGTTTACCAAGTGTCAAATCCTCTCATTTATACTAGGCATTAGGCAATACATACATGTGATTGTGATGAATAATTGACAAACCAAATCAAAATGATGGAAGTTGATGGTTGCCACATCAATTTGGAGGCTATTTTATTCTTCTCCTAAAAGGTTGACATGGTGACTCAACAGACAGGGTCAAATGTTGGAATGCAAAAAGGATCTGTCCACTATAAGCATAATTTCCACACTTTCACCATTGAAGTTTGAATTTTAGTCTCTTCTCTCAAATATTACTTATTAAACTTTTTGGAGACTCAGGAGGTTATTTTATTACATCATGGTGTGGTTGATATGATCTCAGCTAAAGAGTCAAAACCCCGATTGGTCAAGTTATACAAATAAGTAATTCTGCCATGTTATCCAACTTATATTCCCAAGTTGTCCACAACCTTACTGGCTTCTGTTTTAAACTACTACTTTTTTTTTTTTTTGTTTTTGAACTACTCTTAACAAGTTAGATCCATCGTCCTTCGATTCGAGTAAATATATTTAACTGTCTCAAAAGGAGTGATGTCATGCTGAGCAATTGTTATACCATTTTCCATGGATCATGGTCGGCATTGCATTTGTGGACCTTGGTAAAAAATTGTTAAGGGTGAATCAACGATTTGGTCCCTCAGTTATTTACGATTTGTCAATGTTGTTCCTTAATCGTGTATTCATCGATTTAGTCCCCGAAAATAATTGTTTTTCGTCAATTTAGTCCCTATGGCCGTATTCCGTCAAGACTCAGGCGAGAGCTCCGATTTGCCCTGGGCATTTTGGTCTTTTCACGCCTTCTTCTTCATTAACTCTGACCAAGCTTCGCCGGAGAAGCTCAAGCTCACCGGAGGGAAGGTTCGTCGCTGCTGACTTGCTGCTCCTCGTTGCCGTCAGACGAGAAGGATGGACCACGGCCCGTAGCTGTTGTTCTTGTTTGCCGTTGCAGAAACTGCCACTGAGCACAGCCACCGAACCACCACCGTTGAGCTCTATCACGCTGGAGAAATAGGGGACGAAGGAGATGAAGGTCTCTGTCCTGCCACCGTCGTGCCACTCCAAAGTCCACCGTCGAAGCTCCCACCCCGCTCGCAACCGCCATTATTGATGAGAGGGAGAGCCACCACCGGACCTCGTCGCCACTTTGATCTGCTACTGCCCAGTCGTTGTTCTGTTCACCGGAGATGGATGACACTGTTGTTGGTCCCGCTGCTGCTCCGTCGGAGTTTCTTGCTAACAGAAGTTCGCAAGTCCGCCGGTGTTGCCGTTGGTGCACCGCAGCTACTGCCTAGCCGTTGTTGACAAAGAGGGAGGGAGGAGTAACGGTTGCTGACACATGCAGAGGGAAAAAGAGAGAGATGAAGCTGATGGAAGAGACTAAAGACATGAAATGACTAAAGCTGATGGAGCTCCCTCCGGCGAGCTTGAGCTTCTCCGGCAAAGCTTGATCAGAGTTAATGAAGAAGAAGGCGTGAAAAGACCAAAATGCTCAGGACAAATCGGAGCTCTCGCCTGAGTCTTGACGGAATACGGCCATAGGGACTAAATTGACGAAAAACAATTATTTTCGGAGACTAAATCGATGAATACACGATTGAGGGGCAACATTGACAAGTCGCAAATAACTGAGGGACCAAATCGTTGATTCACCCAATTGTTAACTACATACATGCACATAATATGTAATTAAATTTTTTCTGTTAACTAAATGCACATAATATGTTAAGTTGTTAACTAAAGACACATAATATGTTAATTGCATATTATGCGTATGCAGTTAATATATAATGTGTATGTACTTAACATATTATGTCTCTTCAATTTATTTATATGTACATAATGTGTTAACTGTTGTCATTTTGGACCAGAGTCCGCAAATGCAAGGTAGACCTTGACCCATGGTATAATTTATTGATACCGAGTGAGTACAATCGTTATGCTATGCATTCGTATGCACCATGCATGGTGCATACGGATGCAAAAACGACGTAGTTTTGACGTTTAACTTAAAAAAAAAAAAATCAGAATTGCATAACTACACATTCATAATTTCATAACTATACATCCAGAATTGCATAACTACACATCCATAACTTCATAACTATACATCCAGAATTGCATAACTACATATCCATAACTTCATAACTATAAATCCAGAATTGCATAACTACACATCCATAACTTTATAACTACATATCTAGAATTACATAACTATACATCCAGAATTTCATAACTAAAAATTCAGAATGAATGAACTAAAAAATGAATAATATAATGTTGTTGCTGGGAATCGAAACTGATTTTTTCTTTTTTAAGTAAGACGCGCGTTTTGATGCAAAACGACGTCGTTTTTGCATCCGTATGCACCATGCATGGTGCATGGTGCATACGGATGCACGACATAATTTGCCGAGTGAGTATAACACTACAACATACTCTTTATATTAAAAAGGAGTTAATATCCAAAATGATCATCGACTATAATGGTTTTTTCTCAATTTCGTCATAAACGACTTTGATGACCTAATGTAGTCCCAGACTTTTGTGTTTTTGCTCAATTTAGTCTCATAAAATGTTGTTGATGCGTGCGAAATCCTTTTCTTTTTTTAAAAAAATTTTTTTTTTTACGAATTACTATCAGAGTTACTCTCAAACCTACGAATATAAAATTTGATTCGCAGGTTTAGGGATAATTCTAGAAGTAATTCGTAAAAGAAAAAGAGATTTCACACTGCACGCAGTGCTGAGAGTAAAGAGATGTCAATATTGAGACTACTGAATTGTCCATTTATTTAACACTAATTTGACGGAATAACAAACGGATGACTAAATTGAGCGAAATACAAAAATTTGAGACTATATTAAATCACCAAAATCGTTTAAGACGAAATTGAAAAAAATTACTATAGTCGAGGATCATTTTAAATATTACCTCCAATAAAGTTGCTAATTCAATTGTTAGATATATATTTTTAATCAAACCCACCCCATAGAATCCGACCCTAAGAAAATCTCCACTTCCCCTTTCAAGCTCCTTAAATACTTTTGTTTCTTTTGATCAATGCATGCAAAGCTTTTGCCAACCCATGTGAGCTATCTCCAGACGGATGTGACCCCTCCAAGGCTCCAACCATTCTGCACGCATCAACAACATTTTTTTCACTTTATAACTTCACTCCAACCAATAATTTCACACCTTTGAATTTCAAACCAGTTTCCCTTCACTCCTCTCTTTGTTGCTGTTTCTTGAATTCTATCCGGGGTCTCGCAGAGGGATAGAAAAAAGTCTTCTTTTTTTTTTTCTCCCCACGCAGTAAATTCCTTCCGATTTCCTGTTTGCGTGTCTTTAAGGCAACACATAGGAAAGCTTTTGTACGAAGTATCATTGCTGGCCTTTTCAGGATGTAAACATCAGAGGAAGCTATGAAAGGCGTTCGTGTTTCAGTGTTTCTTAGGAATTCGAGGGCGGAGTGTTTATGGGTTTCGTGACTTTTTGACACCCTTTTCTACTTTCCTGGGAGATATCATTTCGTTTTGGAGTTTACCCAAAGTTTAGTGTTGAGTACAATATGCACATGAGGTGTTTGTTGCTATGCTTAACTGAGAGAATCACAAGGAGAGTGGCTTGTTTAAGTTTACAGTTTTAGATGGCATCTTTTAGTGGTTTAGGAATTGGTTTGAGTTTTGTGTTTGGGTGTATCCTTATGGGACTGGTTGCAGAGCTGTATTACTTGTTATGGGTGAGGAGAAGAATCAGAGACAGAGAAACTGAGGGGGAATACACCAGTATTGGGAGTGATATTGCTTACTTGTTTTGTTGCAAGAAATCAAATTCTGTGGTGACTAGAACCAGCACCCAAGCCCTAACAACCTCAGAATTGAATGGATATAGCCAAGATTTGGAGGTGGGAACAGGGAAGGATTCACTGTTGAAAGGGTTTGGGGAAGATGATGGGGTGGAATCAGAGCTGATGAGGCTGCATAACCTTTGTGGGCCTCCTAGGTTTCTGTTCACAATCAAAGAGGAAACCAAGGAGGATTTGGAGTCTGAGGATGGGAAATCTAGGAAGGGTTCCAGAACTAGGAGCTTGAGCCATGACCTTATGATTGGTGTTGAAACACCATTGCTTTCCCCCCTGTCTTCACCTCCATTAAAGCCTCTGGCTTTGGAGTCTTACAGCCACCATGGGCACTTCAACCCTCTGTTTGAGTCCTCAACAGAAGCAGCCCTGAACAGGATGAGATCCTCTCCTCCTCCCAAGCTGAAGTTCCTGAGAGATGCTGAGGAGAAGCTGATTAAGAGGCTGGTTCAAGAAGCTGAGAAAAGGGCCCTCAGGAATGGTGGCTCAGTCCAAGATTCTGCACCCAAGCCTTCTCCAAACTCAAATGGGGTCACTGAAGTGAAAGATGGCTCCTTTATGTCTTTTCTTGATAGTAGCAAAGCAACAGAGGTTTGAGACAAACAGTTTCCTGGTACCACCCATCTCCTTCACAGGTACTCCCATTGCCTTCTTCTCCCCCAACATTCCTACCACTTGACAGCAATTCTGGCATTCTGCTATGCACTAGATCTCCAACATGGCTTAGATCATCCTCTTGTTTCTTCCATTAACCAAAGTTACAGAAATCTAGATTACACCCCCTTTCTTTTTTCCTTCTTTTTAATTTATTGAATTGCTTGTAGGCCTTATTAGCAATTGTTTATGTTTTTCCTCTTCTGCTTCTAAATTTCTAAATCAAAATCCTTGTACAAAGTATCATGAGTTCCATTTTATGCATGCTTTTGGCTTATTGGTGAAAAAAAACTTGTCGATTTAATACTAATTTAAACCTTTGTGTTTTTATGATTTATATAAGTACAAAGAACACAACTCACCACCAAACATTTACATAAAATTACATTATAATTTAAATAAGACCAGCTTTTGGCCTATTGACTAGTGATCTGTTTACCTATTCAATTAACAATATGGCCTCTGTTTGTTGAAGCTTGAAGTAATTATTCGTATGAATCATAATGTTTTATGCCAGGGACACAGCATATATATATATATATATATATATATATATATATATAGACACACACCCTAAAAGGCTCTTTCTTTCTCTGATCTCGGACTGTTGGTGCACATGCATGATATCATGCCACATTACTATGTCCCAATTATTTTCCCTTTTTCCTTTTGCTGGCATATCATTGCTTTGGCCATTGTTAATTTTTAAAATCACCAGGTTAAGAATACAGTTCCTGTGACCATTTTTTTAAAATAAAGAAAATAACAAATTTAGTCCTTAAGTTATACATATACTGGTGAGTCAATCATTAAATTATTGCAGTAACCACTTTTAGTGCCCAAGTCATTATTTAAGTGGTGACTAGAGGCATCTTCTTAATTGACCCTACTATGTTTTGACCTGACCTAATGATCAAGAGTAACGTCTTTGTTAATGTTTAGGACAAAACCTCCTTAAAAAATAATGCAAGACTAGAAGAAGTTACGACAATAGTTTAAGAAATGAGTCAATAATATCCGTATAAGACTAAATCTATAAATTTTAGTTTTACAATGCTTAAGAGAGTGATTAAACTAAAGTCATATGATACTATGATTTTGGACATGCTGCTTTAGCTAATGCCCAATCATGTCTGGTAAGAAACACCAAAGTCATTTGCACCTATCTGCCAGTTGTACACTTGATAATGTCTTGCCAAATGTCATATTAATCATGGTTGTTATTTCTAAAAAAAAAAAAAAAAAATCATGGTTGTTAATTCTTCATCCAAATCAGGAACATTAAACAGTGATTTTGTTCCTCCCCCTCCCCATTCTTTGTTAAGGATGAAGAAGGCATTCTGCAACCACATGAAAAGATGCCAACCAGTTTTTGTTGTCAGGGCCCAGGGGACAGTACCTGGAAACAGTTGGGATTTTACCCTCAATGGATGTGTTCCAAACCATGACATATGTCTTGCATGGTGCTGGTTTTTATATTAAATTGAATGATGCGTTCCGTCTCAATTAAATGTTTAAAATTGATAGTTAGACTGTACATTTATATTTATATATTATATATGCTCGACAAAACAAAACACATGCTTCAACCGTGGCTTCAGTTAGTTGTAAATCGACACTTTGAATATGCCAAAATAATTTTTTTAAAATAGATAATTTTTTTTTTCTTAACTTGAGTTTCGATTGAATCTTGTACAGAGAAACTTTTCAATACGCCTCCCCCATCCCTTATATATAGTGGGACCATGTATATATATATAGTAAATGTTTACATATAAGTAGATAATATAGATATAAACAACTCAAAAATGAAGTAGTTTAGATAGTTATGTGTTATTGTTGTAGGGGTGAAGATGTCAAATCTCCTTTACTCCCACTAGATAAAATTTTTGGCTCCAACGAGTTGGAATTCAAAACATTTAAAGAGAGAAAATTTGTATAGGATAAGAAGATGGATGATTAATACGCTCAAATGACCACCTTTAATAAGGAGGAAATCTTGATCATAAAAAACATTTGGAAGTCTATAATTGTGTTTTGTGAGTACAGTTGAACTTTTACCTTTTCCAACCAGAAAGGTCATAGATATCATGCCATCTGGCTAAAAAGTTCTCCAACAATTCATTTACGAACTTAAAGTGCCATTATTTCTTTCTTTGTATAATAATTGACATTCTTATTATTGGACATTGTAAAATTTTTCATAAATATAAATTTTATGTCTAATATATTCCCATGGATGAGACTAATCTACCTCAATTTGCATCCCAGGGATAAGTTTAATATAATTGAATTTCGGTTGAGATCCGTTTAATACAGCTCTCTCAAGAATGTTACTACATACATATGAGTTCAAACTTCTGAACCCACCGTTTAAGAAACTCTCACAAAAACATTACTACATACACATGAGTTCAAACTTCTGAACCCATATTTAAGCGATGAAACCCTTTCAGCTTCAATTCAACACCTTTTCTCCCAGGTGTATGAGTTTGAAAATTCAAATGAAGATGCTTCTGGACTCCATGGTGGAGACTTGAAGCCTAGGTTAGTTGAGGATAAAGGGAAAATGATTTGGCATGAGACTTGGGACCTTTCTGGTGGTCCATGGGCAGGGTGGGTGTGGGTAGCCAGGGCCCATCATAATTACTCTTGTAAGTTATAGTAACAGATTATATATAAGAAAAAATTTCACAGGGACCACTGCATATATAACTTACCTGGCATTCACAAGAAGCAATTTACCTAATTTGAATTTGAATCTGTGAGGTGCAGGAACAGAGTTTTAACATTTGGGGATTTTGAGTTTTCTGACAAAATCTGGACCAGTTTCATGCCTGCCCCAAACCCAATTTAAAAACAGTGTCTTTTCCTGGATTTAGACTTGTGAACACAGCTGCTTTTCCAGCAGTAATGTTTGTCTCTCTTGTTTTTTATGTTGTTGTTTTGGGTAGAGAAATCTTTGGAGCTTCTATTTCTGAGTTGGGTGGTATCTCTTGTTGGTAGCCACAATAGTGGTTTTTTGGTAGGTTTTTGAGGTGAAAATGCTTATGTAGAGGAGAGAGAAGAATTCAACTCTCCCGCAAGGAGCTGGTTTTTAGTCTATGAAGTGGATCCCACCATGTGTAAATATTGGTTGCACTTAGTCGCGTGTGGTGCAACCATAACGCCTAGCCCATGCCTGCATGCGCCCAGCTAGGCGCGTTAAGATGGAGTGTTTTTTTTTTTGTTTTTTTTTTTTTAGTCAGACTTGCAAAAAATTACAACTAATAATGATGCTCTTAGAGTGTTAGGCATTTTGGCATGACTTTAGTTTAGTATTCATACCCTTTTGTTAGGGAATAGTAGTTATGGAGTACAATGTAATTACATCAAAGTAACAATTTGATTAAATGTTGGGCCATTACCTAGTTTAATTACCCAAATTCAATAATATTAACTGGTCCGGTCTAGACTTGGTGGCAAATTATGCTGTGCAACCATGTGCATCAAGCATGGTGCACATGAAATTGGATCCATAATTTCTATACTATAAATTCATAATTATTAAACTCTATATTCACAATTACAAAATTCTATGTTCATAATTTTCAATGTTCATATTCCTAATTGTTGAACTCTGTATTCACAAATCACTGAACTATATGTTCATAATTTGATAACTATACAGTATAGAAATTATGAATCTATACTTCTATAGTATAGAAATTATGAATCTACAGTTTAGAAATTATGAATTTACAATATAGAAACTATGAATCTATAGTATAGAAATTATGGATCTATAGTATAAATATTATGGATCCAATTCCGTGTGCACCTTGTATGGTGCACACGGTTGCACAACATAACGCTCCAGACTTAGTAGTCCAAGCTTGTTAGCATGCATATCACGTGAACATTTAATACAAATAGCTAGCACCCCCAAACATGAAGTTATTGACATTGCATATAGGAGACGAGACATCATATCGATTCTATTGATCCCAAGGTTATGCTTGATTAGACTCTTGTATTATGAGATAGCATAATGAAATATCAACTCTTCACATTACACTCAACATTAATATTCGAATCTAGAACCTGGAGGATGTGGATGAGTGGAAATGACTTATCAATCCTTAACCAAAGGTCAACAGTTCGATCATTAGTTTGAGTATGGAGTAATTTTAAATTTTCAGGCCAGTTGTCCCACTCAATAGATGTGCCTATAATTCAACGACGAAATTATTAATGATTGTATCCGACGATCGAAAAAAAAAAAAAATCCAAACAACGTATTCTTACCTTACTATTCTAGCTATAGGCATTTGTACTTGGATAATATTCCAAACACGTAAGAATTAATACTAATAACTAAACACCAATGATCTATTACATACTTAATCTTAATACCCAAGTTGATTAAACCTACAACAATTATAATTACATGCCACTAAATAATGAAACATTAAAAATTTCATATAACTAAAGGTACACTTATACGGAGTATAATATATCTCAATGAAACTCGGACTTTTAACCTAAAGTTGAGTGTAAGTTATGCAGATAGAAGATGAATTTGACACTTTAAAGAGAGGTGTTGCCTTGCGGAAAAGTAAAGGCTTTTGTTTTAGGTTGCTTAGAGGGTTAGGCTGGGAAATGAGCTTTAGCGTTTTGCGGTTTTTAAAGAGGAGAGAATATTTCTTTCTAGGAATTGAGCTATCATCTTTTGCGTGGAATTATTAGTCACTAGCTTTCCCACTTTTTTTTTTTTTTTTTTAAAAAAAAAAAAATCTAGTTTCATTGCATTAAGCAAAACAATACCAATTTTTCTTTATGGGAGCAAACTCCACTGACCTGTTCAAATTAAGAATATCAATAAACAACACTATAAATTATCCGTATGAACAGCTCAATTGGTCACAGAGGTGAAACTTTGAAAGAAAATCATGTTTCATGATTTACATCTTCCCAAATGCTTTGTCGGTAAACATGTTTTGTGGATCAATTCTTGCTTTCTTTAGAGGGTGTTTGGTTGGAAGGAAGGAATTAGGGTAGAAATGAATTGTAATTCGGTGGGAAAAGAATAAGGTAGGAATAAAGTAGGAATTCAAATTACAGTGTTTGGTATGTAAGAATAAGGCATGAAATTGAAAGGGAATAAGTGATACAATGATTGAAATGCCCTTATGTAATAATAATAATAATAATAATAATAATAATAACAACGAAAGGAAAACAAAAATAAAAGGACGAAAGGAAAACAAAAATAAGAGGACGAAAGGAAAACAAAAAAAATGGGGAAGAAAGTAAAACAAAAAGAATGGG